GTTAGAATAAATAGAATGGTTTTGAATAATATATTAGAGTAAAATCTACGTCACTTTACAGCCCCGCCCACTTTTGGGGAAACCAACGCTGTCATTTGAACGGCGATCAAGCCTGAAGCCACAGAAATCTTCTGTTACTGTCCTTTCTTCTTAGAGGTATACAGAAACACGTAACTCTGGATTTGTTTTAATGTTTGAGATGCAATAAACGACACAGCAGCTTTTTGGCATGTTAAAACTATTATTTTCTGCCTCGCTCATGAGAGTAACAGCTGGCGAAATTACAGCCTCGCCTACTGATTTCAAATGTGTGCTCTAAAATGATATTTATAAATGACTATTATCATTATTATAAGCAAGACAATAAATGGCAAAGATATGTAGAAAATAAACGTATTTGAGATAAGTTCGTAAGAAACGTAACGTGGGAGAAAATATGTTTCTAGAAGATATGTAGAAAATAGACGTATTTGAGATACGTTCATAATGAACGTAATGTGGGAGAAAATACGTTTTTAGCTAATCGTAATTGAGAATGCAGTTTACAGTAGTTCTGTGGGAACGTCATTTTTAGGAGACAGGGTTGCACAGAATCAGCCCTTGCAAAAACAGGGCTGGAAAAGAGAAAATAGAGCAAAATGAGGCATGGCTAAAACCCATGATCTGTTTGGTATTTTGAAAAAAAAACTTCACAGACATGTTTTGTATAGGTATGGCCCTACAATATATGTTTCAAATATAGCATGATAGGTCCACTTTAAACCAAACTCGCTCTTGTCCGATTGGACTTTTGAAGCTTGGATAAACCATTAACCTTTCGAAACAAATCCTGACTCAATCATGTAGAAACGTCTCAGCACTCTGACCATTAAACTGCATCGGAAACAAGCTCCTGGAAATAACAATGTCAGATTTTACAGTTATTGCTGGAAATATGTCCCAACAACATTTCATTGGACAAGTCAGTGAGTCGTTACTGGTTAAGATGGTAATATTTAGCAGCATTGGGCTTTTGAAGGTCATTCGAGGTGGCAGAAAGCCCCGGGGCAGAGCTAAGACTAGCCACCTGTTTAAACGGTTCTGTTCCAGTGAACCACAGATGGGTGGTGAGCATGTAATAGAGTTGTAAGTGCCCCGAGCAGGGAAGGAAACAAGCCAATTGCCTAAGTTGTTTCCAGAGTTAATCCCTCGATTGTCAGCAGTGGATGTCGGACCTTTGTTCTAACTTTAGAAAACAAAAGGACACTTTAGAGAAAAACCTGAAATGGTTTTAAACCTAAAAAATATTCAGTATCATAATTCTGTTCATACAAAGTGCAGTGGAAACTTTATGCCAAAGGTCAGGATGTGTTTTGGTTGTAAGAGTTTGTTCTGTGCTATGTCTTGTTTTGTACACAGAGTTGCTTGTTTCAGGTCATAAGCTCCATAAATGGGCAGAGTGAATGTGGAGAAAACAGCTCAACCTAGTGGGTCAACACAACAGAGACGTATCAGGGCTGATGTACAGTGGGTAAAACCAAAATACAGAGCAAAAGCAATATACTTAGTTAGTTAAGCGGTTTAATTCTCATTGTTTCAAAAATAATTGAATTCCTAATCAGACGCCATATTACAGTAGTATGGAGTTGACTGAAGTGGTTCAAATTCCCCTTCTCTTGAACCATTTAAAAAAAAAAATGTGTTGATTAAAAGTCTCTTCATGGCCCGCTTCTCCAAATGCTATTATTGTCAAAATCACTCCCACAACAGTTACATCACGTTAAAAATGCAGGATATATAGTATATTAATTGTGTGGTTTGAGGTTGAGTTTACTATCTGACCACATGCAACAAGAAGGGAGTATACTAATTTCACTGTTATTCTTGTAATAATACTTGAAGCGCTTGTTTTTACTTTCTTTGTTATAGTCTACTCTCTAGTGCAGCAAGATACAATTACAGCAGATTCGCTCTGTGGGCAGTAGCTCCCTCAGTTAATTACAAAATAATAAATAAATACAAGTGCTTGAACTAATTGCTGTTTCTGCATGTATTTTCTCAAACCAAATCACCTTTCCATTTATGACATAATACAATCTTGAAAAAAAATGCAGCACATTATTACCTAAAGCCAAAGGTAACAACAAATAAGATATATCAAAGAACTAAAACTGGGTTATTCATAAGGTCTGGCATGTTTTGAGATACATGCTAAAACCAGAATATCAACACTAACAATGACAATGCTAACTGTCTGATGTATCTATACATGCCTATAGCATGTAATGTTTACCATGTTCACCATCTTATGATAACATTTTAGCCTGCTAAGATTAGCTAATAAGCTAAAAAAGTACATCTGAAGTTAGTGGGAATGTCATTTCTTTAGTTTTGAAAGTATTGAACACAATCTAATTTAGATAAAAATCTAGCTATGGGGAAAACATAAATATGTGAAAACCTAATTTCATTTTGGTCCGTCGAATAGTTATAAAGCCAATGCAAATTGATAAACAACAGATGTTTCATGCAAAGACAATATCATCGTAGGAATAAAAGTCTATAGGAATTACCCACTGATAACCATGAATTTGTATTTAAGATTATATGGAAATTAATCAAGTAACTCATATTACAGTCTGGACTAAAGTGTTACCTTGACCGAACTACTGAATTTCCATTTCTAAAGCCAGAAGTGACTTAAACAATTAATTGCGAACGCAAACAGTTGCCAACTTATTCTGCTCTGTTCTTAACTAAAACAACAACCATCAAAAGTTGTGAAAACGTTGGAAAGCAGTGAAAGTGGATGTAAGTGGCAGGATAAAGCAGCAACTATTTGCCACATCTGTAAATTACTACTGAGGATATAAAGATAACTGCATGTCTTTGCACTTCCGAATGTGCAGGTCAAATGAAGGTTTAATTTAATACTTATGACCTAAAAATGTCATTTAGCGTCTCTTGGTTTTCCAGTAAAATGCTACATTTTTCTCCTTTAGCCCATATCAGAGTAGTTAGGAAGGGATTATGGGAAGCTAATTGGACGTTATTTCTATGACCTCATGGAGAGAGTTCCTGAGTCTGGCAATGGGGATGTTCACTGCAGCCAGGAGAAAGTGGAGTCTGTGACCGGAGCCCATTTCACTCAGTCAGATAGCGGTGATTCAAACCCCATTTGTTTTGGGAGTTTAGGATGCTCTCAGTGGTTTGGCTGTGATTGATCTTTTCTCTGCCCGTGATCGCACCGTGACACTATTTTATTTTCCACAATCATTTTTTCCCTTGCTATCTAAGACCAGTTCAGTCCTGTGGTGCTTCCTCCATTGGCCCTCTGACAGTTTATTGACCACCACCCAGAAAAATAAGTCTTGTGCCATTGCTAGGGACACCTTCAAACATTTGCATGGAAAAATTATAGTATGTTTGCAGAAAGTTTCTGCGACAAAAGACATGTGGTACAGAAAGAGACCACTTGTTGTAAAATATCTTCTCACTCCTACAATGATAAAACAGAAGCAAACGTTCCATAACACTTAAGTCTTTGCCCAAAATGAATGATGTAAAGTTCATTAGGAGAGTTGCTTTAAAGACAAAGACAAGAAAAGAAAATCAGTAGCTCGTCAGCAGCAACATTTTTCTGTACTGTCTTGATGATCTTGTTAACAATCTGATGCTCAATATAAACTATATGACATGACAAAGGAGGTAGAGCAAGATTTAGATTGAAGATTTTGATACATGGAATACTCCGCTGTTAATTGTTTCCTAAAACAAAAGCAGTTAGGGGATAGAAAGATGGAAAATGGGCAGGAAGGGTAGATGCAAATGCTTTTTTATAACATCTGAAATTTCATGACAGACATTCCTGAAGTTCTTTGTGGATACATAAACTATGATGTGTAGGAATTACCTAAAGTTGATTTAGCATTAAGGTTGCTAACACCTTTTCGCCATCTTCCTTTCAGACTCTGGAAGATGCATAAACAATATACCTCAGTGAGCCCCACCAGTGACGTCATTGAGAAGACTGAGAATGGACCACAACCAAAGAAACACCGCTACATACGCAAAGAGGGCAGCTGTAACGTTGTTTTCCGCCATGTTCCCGAGGAGTGGCTGCTGTTTGTTACCGACATCTTCACAACCCTGGTGGAGATCAGATGGAGAGTGATGTTCCTGATATTTGCCCTGTCTTACATCCTGTCTTGGCTTTTCTTCGGCATCATCTACTGGGTCATCGCTCTCGCTTACGGTGACACCAGAGAAATCACACCCGAACCCTGTGTTTACGGGGTGCACGGCTTCACAGCCGCTTTCCTCTTCTCCCTTGAAACTCAAACGACCATTGGCTACGGTTCCAGAGGGATGTCCGAGAACTGCATGATCGCCATTATCATCGTTACTATACAAGATGTCATCAGTTGCTTCATTGACACGTTTGTCATTGGAATTGTTGTCGCAAAAATGGCCTCGGCAAGAAAGAGGGCGCAGACGGTAGGATTCAGCAACTGCGCCGTCATAAACCTTCGTGATGGTTATTTGTGTCTGTCCTGGAGAGTCGGAGACTTCCGAAGGCACCATCTTGTGGAGGGGACAGCTCGCGCCCAGATTGTCCGCTCCACGGTGCATGCCACAGGGAAAATGGACGTGACATACGAAGATCTGGTTATTCAGCAGGTAGAAATAATTCTGGTCACACCTACCACCGTCTTCCACAGGATAGAAGCCGGCAGCCCTCTGTTCAGTATGAGTTTGATAGATCTTCGGAAAGCAGACTTTGAGCTTGTGGTGTCTTTTACCTACACGGACGACTCCTCAGGTATGCTGCATCAGACCCGAACCTCATACACTCCACCTGAAATCCTCTGGGGTCAGCTCTTTCAGGAGATGATCAGGGTTAGCAGGAGGAACTACAGGGTGGACTACACCTTATTCAATCACACTGCAAAGGTGCTGGTGCCTGAGGTCAGCGCTGAGGATTACGAACACAAAAAGCAGTTGCGGCCCTCTCCCCGACATTCCCCAAGACATTCACCCAGATCTTCCCCGCGGCTATCACCTAGATCTTCTCCTCGCCCCTCTCCAAGGTTACAGCAGTGGAGTCATCAGGAAAAGCTTCTGAAACCCCCAACGGTAACCGTGGAACTTGTGAATGATAGTATCCCTGAAGCAAGTGGTTCAACATCTCAAGTAGACAATAAACACCAAGATACGTTGCCTTTGCCAATTTATCTCAAAGATACAGAAATGTAAAAGCGAAACCATTAGGTTTAAGGCATGTTTGAGGCGGGCATTCCTCTGCACATTGTCCTGATTGTCTATTTCTTCAAAGAAGTCACTGCTGAAGAGGAATATCTTGGAGTCAACTGGAATGGGTACCAAATAATGTTAAGAATTCTTGTTCTTGTGTGTACATTATTTAAATTGTTTTAAGTGATGCTCCAGCAAAAAATCTGAATCAAACTTGTAGGTTTGGAAGATGTTTTTTTAGGACATAGGCTTCATGTAGACTATTGAACGATACCAATGGTGTTAGTACCTCCTGACGAAAGACCATCAACTTGCAGATCATTTGCCCCTCAGGGGTTTCCCAAGGCTAGATTTATGGAGCCCCACCCTTGGGCATAACAACGCATGAATCCGGTTTGATAAATGAATCAAATGATCAAAGATCCAATATCATCAATGCAGAGTGGAAAAGCCAACTCAAATAAGCCTGAAGATAAAAAAAAAAACTGTAAGCGAGTAGCGCTAGTGCTACTAGCGAGCTCTGCTAGCTTCAACCCTAACCCTAAACTCCTCAAGACCCTAGCCAAGCCCCTGTGTCTTCTAATCATTTTAAATATAATTAAAGCGAGTGCTCAATATAGCTAATACCGATCAGTTAAACAAGAGCATATAACTGTCCATGTTTGCAACTTGAGTTGTCCCTACAGAGACACTTTTATAGGCTGCAGTACTGCAGTTGACCACTGGGACAACTTGTCTGCAAAGCTGACTCACTATACTATTACGAGCTCTGGTAATATATACATGATTTGGCCCATGAGAGCGCCCCACCTGCTACTCTTTCATTGGTCAGGAGAACTTTAGGGATTAAGCAGTGAGTGATAGTGCCAAAGACCCAAACTGTAAACAGCAACAGCAATTCAGAAGGGACAAGTTAATGTGTGAGGATATGAGTTAGAACAAGTTCATTTAGCCAAAGGGTTGTGAATATACTAAGCGTACAAATGGACAAAGGGACAAGAGTAATCCTGCATGAGTGGCATTAAAGTTTATCAACGATCTACTATATGGAATTTGCTGTAAGTGACTTGTATTTAAACTGGCCACATTAGCCGGGCTATGATAAAAACTACTTACAGCCCACTTTTAAGCCTACATGTTTCAGTATACAATACCCAAAAATATAATTACTGAAGGAAGCATCAACCTAAAATAAAGAAAGGCCCCCTATTTGAAACATAAATCTTAAAAAAAGAATTTGTATTGTATTTTTGTAAAATTCAGTTTCAGGTTATTGTGCAATTCAGGGCAAACAACGAAAGATACGTGGTTTAAAATTATTTTAATACTTTTCATGGACCTTTTGGAGAGATATTCTTATCAAGTGCAGTGTTCAAAAGAAGAATTAACTTGTAAGGTTGCATTATACATTTAAAAACTGGGAAATCTGCTGAGGAAGATAAGCCTCTGAACGGCTACTAAAAGGATATTGCGGGAAGATTGTTTTGTCTACTGTGTATATAATTATATTATAAGTGTAAAAAGAAATGACGTGAAAAGAAAGGCATACATTTTAGGACGTTACTTATTTCCAAAGAAGGTCTCTACATTTTATCCGTCATGTATCACAACTTCAACTGACTGTCACTAGAGTTTAAGGTCTAGTCACTGTAAATAATCGTCATGGGGTGACTCCAGCAATATCCCTTATTATGAGTGAAAACGTCAGAGTTTGTATGGAAAACATGTCAAATGTTACCTTTTCTTTATGTTTGTGGTGGTGGAATCACACTTGTTTATTAAATACCAGAAAGTCTAGCCATTCAAAACTGTTTTTTCGTAAACAAATATATTTACTTATTGTCTGGACAACATTAATATTATTGAATATCTTGATATTAGCCTGATTATTGTCTTAGATGTTCGGTATTGACCAAAAATATTGTAGATCCTTTATAGATTAAAGATATGTATTTGTAATTTCGTTCATACAGCATCATTAAGCAGATTTTTATAAAACATTAAAACATTGCTTACAAGATGTCAACAATTTTAATAAAGTTATGTCTAAATGTCTGGTTTTCGTCTTGCTTCGTCTAATAATAATTTACCTGTCTGAGATGATTCATGTTTTTTGTCAAAGAACAAAAGTTGAACCAGAAGCTTGCTTTGATGTCAACTAACCAGACTGCTTTAAGACGTGCTGCTTTGATTTTAACTACTGTATAATCCAGTTAAGAAATTATATTTTCTTTAATTAAATATCCAAAATAGATCAATCCAAAGCTCAGGATGTTGTTTAGGCAGGAGATCATGACAGTGCTGGTATGAACTGAATCTGAATACAAATCGGTAACATTAGTTGTATTATATTCATTACAATATCTCGGAAAGGGTAATTTAATTTTTGCAAATATCTTTGAAAAAAGGCAGGCCTGGTGTGATTGTGGGTACATAAAGTATAAAAAGGCACATTATTGCAGAGTAACACCACTAACACTGAGTTATACTTACACGTTGTTAAATACCTTTCTTTTGGCAGCTTCCCAATAGACTCAACTCTTCTGGTTTACCGGTGAACAACTTTAATTTGAAGGGTAACGCGGCTCAACTCCACTGCAGCTGTAGGAAAATATGATATAAAAGACAAAAATAATAAGGTTTATTAAGATAAAGCTACAGTAATAAGAGTATTTCCTTTAATGTTAACTACTGCTTTAAGGACAGGTGTTATATACTTAGATGCTTCTTATTTTACTAGACGTCAATGGTTGTGGACTTTAGGAAGAACGCAGCCCCACCCGCCCCCATCACTCTGTGTGACTCCCCAGTAACTGCTGTGGAGTCTTTCCGCTTCCTGGGCACCATCTGCCCGCCCCAGGGAAGATAGTGGCCGACCCCTCACCCTGGATACAAACTGTTCACCCCCCTCCCCTCTGGCAGGAGGCTGCGCTCCATCAGGACCAAAACCTCTCTCCACCTGAACAGTTTCTTCCCCTCCACTACCGGCCTCTTAAACAAGGCCCGCCCTCCCCCCCCCACTGACACTTAACCTCAGCCACAACGTAATCGCCTACTAATGCATTACATTAAATGCACACACTGTTCAAATTACTGCTCGCACATATTCTTATTTGGCATATGTTCATATTCTTACAATCACTGTGCATCCTATTTTCGCTGTAAATGACTGACTTTATGTTATTGGCGTATCTAGACTATATGTTTATTACAGTGTCCTTAAAGTTTTTTGTTATATTAGATTTTGGTTTTATATTGGAGTTTTTGTTTATATTTTATGTTCGCACCACGAACAAGTGAATTTCCTCGCTATGGTTTAACTACCTGCCATAAACCCGTTCTGATTCTGATGATAGATGACAACAACAATGTCAAGAAACTACAGCCTAAAAACATTAAATACATGGAATTAAACTGAATACAATTATTTAAAAAATCCCTGAGATGCGGAATTTTTAGTATTATCCCTGGGTTTAATTATGTCGATAGTGTCCATACGGCAAGCTTTTGCACATGTTTGTCAATTCTTAAGTTTGTGAAACTGCAAAGAGTTCCCTTCTTTTGTTGACAATGTAACCAAAACAGATTGTTATCTGAAAATTGTTCAACAAAGATGATGGTAATGCAGAGACAGAAAAAAAAGCCCAGTTGGGATAATGTCGGTGCATTCATCGGATATGTATTTATTGTCATAACGATATTTTTCTAAATCCTTTAGGATGGATATCGGTGCAGTGGACAGAGTTGCATGAAAGTGCACGATGCCCTGCCCGCTCCTCCTCCTCCTCTCATGGCGCGTCTGCTTCTTGCTCACATTAAATGTAAATGTGTGTGGTGTGTGTGTGTGTGTGTGTGCGGTCGGGTGCGCGTGCGTCGCGTGCGTGCGTGTGTGTTGTTTTCAGTCTCCAGCTCTGCACCTTGTGGTCAACATGCAGCACTGGCATGCATCGCTGCTCTTTAGCTGCAATTGGGCATGGGAAAGCAAACACACACAACGCACACGGTTCACTGACACCAGGTGGTTTGGCGTAAAGTATACATGCTGCTATAAATGACCCAACTAAAAATAAGACAAAAGGCCTTTTGGAAACACATAGGTTAATGTTGATTGATGAAGTAGTTAACAAGGAAGAGTGATTAAGTCAGTGCTAAGAACATAAACAGCACAGCCTGACACTACAATTATAGGCAACAGATGCACAGTCTAAACATCCGAGGCATTGATAGCTGAGTGGAGAAAGACTGTGCATCTTTGCCCTATAATGTTAGTCAGGCTGTCTAGCATGTTTTGTTCTTAAGCCACTGATTAATCACTCTTCCTGTTAACTATTTCCATAATCAACATTAACTATTGTGTTTCTGCCAAAGGCTTTGTTCTTATTTTTAGTTGTGGTGCATTTATAGCAGCATGTATATTTAGCCCAACACCTGTGGCGCTGGCAGTTGAACTGTGTGCGTTGTGGTGTGTTTTGCGTTTCCGATGCCCAATTGCAGCCATAAAATAGAGCGATGCGATGCCAGTGGGCATGTTGACCCACAAGGTGGAGAGCGGAGACTGAAACACACACCAACGCACGCACGCGGCACGCACGCACGCACCGCACGCACCCACACACACACGACACACACACACACACATTGTATTTTAATGTGAAGCAAGAAGCAGGACAAGCGGCAGAGAGGAGGAGAGGAGCAGTGCAGGGCATTGCACTTTTCCATGCAACTTGCTTCACTGGCACCGATATCAATATAAAGGATTTAAAAAAAATATTGTTAGTACAATAAATCACATCATGATGAAAATGCAGACATTATCACTGGGCTATTTTTTTCTGTCTCTGCATTAGCCATCATCTTGTGAACAGATAGTCTCAGAGGACAATCTTTTTGTACTTTGTCAACAAAAAAGAAGGGAACTCTGCGAGTTCACCAAACTAAGAATTGACAAACATGGTGCAAAAGCTTGGTATGGACACTAGTCGGACATAATTAAAGGGATAATACTACAATCCAGCATCTCAGGGATTTTTAAATTAATTGTATTAGTTTAATTCCATGTATTTAATGTTTAGGCTGTAGTTTCTTGTACAATGTGTTTTCTCTATCATCCAGAATCGAGAAACGGGTTATTGCACAGGTAGGGCTTCAAACATTACGAGGAATTTCACTTGGTCACTATGTCGTTGGGCAGACATAAAAGTTGAAACAAAAACTCCATATAAAACCAAAATCTAATTATAAAACAAAAAATCTTAAGGACACGTGTAATAAGAATATGTTAGATAGCAATAAAATAAAGCAGGATCATTACCCCGAAATAGGATGCACGTGAATTGGTAGAATATGAAATAGAAATAAGAATATTGCAGGAAGCAGTATGTTGAACAGTGTGTGCATTAATGTAAGTGCATATAGGATTACGTTGTGCTGAGGGTTAAGTGCCAGTGGGGGGGGCGGGCCTTGTTTAAGAGGCCGGTAGTGGAGGGGAAGAAACTGTTCAGGTGGAGAGAGGTTTTGGTCCTGATGGAGCGCAGCCTCCTGCCAGAGGGGAGGGGGGTGAACAGTTTGTATCCAGGGTGAGGGGTCGGCCACTATCTTCCCTGGGGCGGGCAGATGGTGCCCAGGAAGCGGAAAGACTCCACAGCAGTTACTGGGGAGTCACACAGAGTGATGGGGGCGGGTGGGGCTGCGTTCTTCCTAAAGTCCACAACCATTGACGTCTAGTAAAATAAGAAGCATCTAAGTATATAACACCTGTCCTTAAAGCAGTAGTTAACATTAAAGGAAATACTCTTATTACTGTAGCTTTATCTTAATAAACCTTATTATTTTTGTCTTTTATATCATATTTTCCTACAGCTGCAGTGGAGTTGAGCCGCGTTACCCTTCAAATTAAAGTTGTTCACCGGTAAACCAGAAGAGTTGAGTCTATTGGGAAGCTGCCAAAAGAAAGGTATTTAACAACGTGTAAGTATAACTCAGTGTTAGTGGTGTTACTCTGCAATAATGTGCCTTTTTATACTTTATGTACCCACAATCACACCAGGCCTGCCTTTTTTCAAAGATATTTGCAAAAATTAAATTACCCTTTCCGAGATATTGTAATGAATATAATACAACTAATGTTACCGATTTGTATTCAGATTCAGTTCATACCAGCACTGTCATGATCTCCTGCCTAAACAACATCCTGAGCTTTGGATTGATCTATTTTGGATATTTAATTAAAGAAAATATAATTTCTTAACTGGATTATACAGTAGTTAAAATCAAAGCAGCACGTCTTAAAGCAGTCTGGTTAGTTGACATCAAAGCAAGCTTCTGGTTCAACTTTTGTTCTTTGACAAAAAACATGAATCATCTCAGACAGGTAAATTATTATTAGACGAAGCAAGACGAAAACCAGACATTTAGACATAACTTTATTAAAATTGTTGACATCTTGTAAGCAAAGTAAGTATTATTATGTATTAATAAAAATATGCTTAATGAATAGCATAGTAAATGAACGAATATTCAATACATAATACAATATAATAATATATAAAGAGAGCAATCTAAATATTAAATGGATACAAATACGACACAACATCTATAAGACAAATAATCAGAACTATATCAAGATAATCTCAATAATAAAATTAATCGTTGAATCACAGAAAACAATACATAAACCAAAAATATAATTAACAAAAAACAAACAAACAAAAATTTACGGAAAAAAAGTTAAAAACTGAAATGGCTAAAACTAATTCTAGGCTAATTATATAAACAAGAATAAGAATGAAATCCAACACCACAAACATAAAGAAAGGCTAGAACATAATGACAACTATATTCTCAAATACAAACCTCTGACACCAAATTTTCACTCATAATAAGGGAATATTGCTGGAGTCACCCATAGAACAAAAAAATATTCTACACGTCAACCATAGAGCACCCTCATACAAACTTAAGTGACAACGAACAAAGAATAAGAAACGTC